TGTGGGCGAGTGGAGGGCGGGCTCGGCCGGCTGCCGCGTCCTCTCCGCCGGGCCGCGCGCCCCGCCGCCGCCGCCGCCGCCGCCGCCGCCCCCCGCCCGCCGCGGCTCCAGTGAGCTCATCCGCAGCTGGCGGGCGCCCGGCCCGTTGCCACGGCAACGCCTCTCCCAGGGCCGCGCGGACTCGAGCGGCTCCGGTAAACAGGACCTTCTGCCGGACTCTTCCCCTCGCCTTTGGGGGGTGGGCGGGGGAGGGGGGGGGTTCCTGGCGGCTTAACCCTTTCTTTGCTGGAGACCCAGCACCGCGGCGTTCTCCATCTCCGCGGGGCAGCTGTCGGCGCGCTGCGCTCGGCGGCGGCTCAGACCTTCAGACGCGGGCACGGAAGAGGCGGCGACACTCCCTGCACCCCCACCTCCGTTCGCTCCGGTCGCCTAACGCGTTCATGGGGCACCTACTACGGGTCAGGCGCGGCGCCGGGGTCCGCGACACCCCAGACAACGAGGCAGCCGCCACCCTTGCCCCTTGCAGCTTGCGGTCCGGCTGGGGCCCCGACAACCAAGGTGCAGGCAATGAAAGCCCGGGGGCCCCGAGCGGGGGGCACATGGGTTCCCGAGCCGCGCCGGGAGGGGAGTCAGGAAAAGGTTCCCAGAGGGGCAATGACTTTATAGTGTCCACTGCCCCCACTCACGTAGGACAATCAAGGAACAGATCGCAGGAGTTAGGACTGCCAAATAAGCACACGCGCAAGTGCTGTGGGCTTTTTATGCTGAGGACAATGGGGGGCCACGCAAGGTTTTTGAGCCGAGGAGTTCCCTGATGGAAGGGAGATGTAGCTGACAGTGGTGATTTATGGGCCTGGGGGGAAGCCTCCAGGCTCATCTCTATACCAGAGGAAAGTCACTCTTGTCTTTAGCTCAGGGGTCCCTAGAAGGAAGGGTCTAAAGCTCAGGCAAGGGGGAGAGGGGAGATAGAGGCTTAGCCTATAAATCCACGAAAGGGGTGTGCGGGAAAGAGAAGGAAAGAAAGGACTGCAGAACAGGGGGAACATTAGATACTGTCAGGGCTGTCCCGGTAAACTGGGGGCCCAAGATTTGAGGGACTGATTTAGATATCAAAGTCACAGGAGAAAACTGTCTCCTTCCTAGCTGAGGGTTTTGCTCATTCTGTGAGATCTTCGAAGTTTTCTAGAGCTTGTTACAGCTTCCTAAACTCCATCATGCCGTACCCATTTCAACTAAGCTCAGTAAACTTTCAGAATAAAAATTTTCAAGGTACTAGAATTTTTTTTTAAAAAGTATAAGCACTTATTTATTAATTTTTAAAGATTTTATTTATTGGGGCGCCTGGGTGGCTCAGTCGGTTGAGCATCTGCCTTTTTGGCTCAGGTCATGATCTCAGGGTCCTGGGATCAGGGGGGAGTCTGCTTATCCCTCTCCCTCTGCTCTTCACCCACACTCATGCTCTCTCTCTCTCTCTGCTCTCTCTTTGTCAAATAAATAAAGATCTTTAAAGATTGTATTTATTTATTTTAGAGGGAGAGAGAGAGCAGGTGAGTGGGGGGAGGGGCAGAGGGAGAGGGAGAGAGAGAGTCTCAAGCAGACTCTGCGCTGAGCTTGGAGCCGGTTGCGGAGCTTGATCCCACGACCCTGAGATCAGTACCTGAACCCAAATCAAGAGACAGACAGACGTTCAACCCACTGAGCCACCCAGGTGCCCCCAAATTATAAGCATTTAAATTACTGTTTTGTTTGTTGAAGCATCATTTAATACATTTTCACTTTCTAAAAAAAGATCAAAGACTTGGCTTCTTCAGGGTTAATTAGTCCCGGGGTTCTGGGGTGTCACGAGGCAAACTGGCAAAGTAGAGCAAATGGCAAGTGGAGAATAACTGGGAGCCCAGCTGGCTACCTCCCCCAAGCCAGGGCGTGCAGCAGGCTGGTCGCCTTCGATGTTGTGGCTTCCAGATTGCCAGGCACATGTCAGGTGGACAAACCAGAGAGGAGGCTGGGGAGCTCCCCAGTAGTGGCTGCCACTCCATCTGCTTCGTCATCTTTGAGTTCTAGACACTAACTTGTTTTAGAAAAATTCCCTGCCTCAGCTCGTGGGGTCAGTCTCTGATGAGTGAGGCTGGGGCCTGTGCTTTGCAAGTTTCCTTCCCTGCCTGCCTGTCACAGCCCCCAACCCCATGGCTGCTCCTGTCCCTGAGCCATTCAATGGCTCTGTTGCCATGGCAGGGTCCCTCCTTTCCTGTGTGGCCCTGTCTCTGCTGGCTTCCTGGAGCTTTCCCAACTGATGCT